CAGGTAATTTTTCTAGGCGTCCAGTGTACAAAGTAGGCTAAATAAAAATTATGTGCATACAACTCCTGCAGTTTCAAGCCGTCAATATTGGGATGGCGTCAGCTGACTGCGGATAGAAAGGCAACATGCGCCCTCTACCTAATGGTTATGCCCTTGTTAATAATGCTTTTCGATCCTGTAAGTTTTTTTAACTGCACTCAAATACCGTTTTTGGAAGAAAAACATTCGCTCCGGAAGATGTCGGAAAACGATGGTCATCCGGCTTCATCCCAGTTTGCGAAAAGCGCTTCTAAAAACCTCGGCACGCTGCCAGGGAGCCTTGGCCGTCCAGCTGCCTTTTACAACGTTCGCTGTGTGTATATGCAAGTTCGATCCAGGCAAAACACACACACAAATAGGCAGGCATAGAGGTAAGCTAGCGCTGAGGGTGTCGTCATTGTTGCCACCGTAGCTCTTACGTAAGATGGTGCAGAGGGGCTAGCCGATTCGGTCGCAGGCCGGACAAAAGGGCACACTGTCTGGGCGCATTGCGAATCACATAGCGCGGTACCAGCAACACAGAACGGTGACTGAGATCAAACGGAAGACGGACACAGTTCTCAGGGCAACCTTCAGGGTTAGGAATGTGAAGCACACGCAGATGGGTGTTTACAGATTCCGATAATTCATGTATCAACCGCCACAGAGACTTGGATGGAATTTATAAACACTTCAAAGAACGGTGGAAGAGACGAGGGCAGCATAACACAGACTAGCAGAGGCCACAACTACAAATCAGGTGTCAAACCATATGACTATTGATTTTTTTACGCACTTTTGAAATTTAAGTTTTTCTTTGCACATTTCTCGTTAGTGCAAAGACGAGCTGGGGAACCAGTCCCGAAAATTCACTGATTCAAGTTACCTTAATATCCCAAGGAAAATTCTTTTCGTCAATGTAAAATTTATTAGGATGCGTGTTTTCCAGTTTATACGTGTATGGAACACGACGTATCACTTTGGGCTAAATGCGCGTTTGTGTTTATCGTTGGCTATGCGACTGCAGCCTAGAAATTCGGAAAATTTCTCAACTGGCAACAGAGTGGAGCGGTTAAAAGACATGCAGAATTACCATTCAATAATGCTTCCAACTGCCAATACAAACGAACACGCGAGTTCAAGGATGTAGTTGAAGGCTCCCAGTCCATAAACAAGGGT